CTCTTCGTTACTCACGGAGGTCTTGGAAGTACAACTGAAGTCGCTTATCTCGGAAAACCTGCAGTGTTTGTAAGTTCAACCGTTCATCATCACTCATTAAACAACAAATGAAATATTTTACGTCACGCGACGTCACGTCATTTTCACGTAAACCACAGTTTCGAAATGTGGAACTAAACGCTATCACGACGGAAAAATGTTGAATTTGAGAAAAACTGGAGAAAATGGAAAAAACATTCAAACGAAATAAAAAAAAAATTGTAAATGAGCTTATAGATTCCGTTGTTTGCTGATCAGCCATCGAATGCTATAATGGCATCACGATATGGAGGAGCAATAGTTCTTGAGAAAACATTACTGGATAATAAAGAAAAAATCAAAGAAGCCTTTAATGAGGTTTTATCAAACAAGAAGTGAGAAAATTTGAAAAATTTCCAAATAGTCATTAATGAGTTTCAGATATGAGGAGAATGCGAAGAAACTCTCAATAATTCTCAACAATAGCCCTACTAATCCAAAGGATATTCTTGTTAGGCATATTGAATTTGCTGGAAGGTAAGCCATCTAATCAATAATTTTGTTTATAAAAAATAATTATTTAAAGAGTTGGACGAATACCTAATTTGGATTGTGAAGGAAGAAATTTGAATTTATTCCAATTTTTCTCATTGGATATCTATCTAGCAGTCATAGTCATAATACTTTCAATTATATCGCTAATATATATTATAATAAGGAAGATAGTTAAATATTGTACAAATAAACTAAAAGTTAAATCAGAATAAAGTATAGTTTGTGCAAAAACATAATCTTATATTGTATCTCATAATCGATGAAAGTTTATCGAAAAAGTTGATGAAATGATAAGAAACACTTGCATCTCATACTCAATATGAGACTCCTATGGACGTTTTCTCTCTTCGTTTCATGTAAGTTTAGATTTAATTAATTTAAATTATATTCATATATAATTAAAGTATGTGATTGTTATAAAATTCTTGTTGTCTCTCCTATATTTGGACATTCACATTCAAATTTCATGGGAAAGCTAGCTGATGCTTTAACTGAAAGAGGGCATAATGTGGTAAAGTTTATATACTATCATATATATAATTAACATAATTATAAAATCAAGACTGTTCTGATGCCAGTCGTTAACCATCAGGAAATGCACAGAACAGGTGTTAAACTCACGAAAAACGTTATGATCATCCCACCCCATCCGGATGTTGTGGAAATGATGGGAACTGCAGGGGATATAGTACGTAAACAGTTATGGTCTATGGACCCAAGTCCATTCGCATTACTTCGAGTTTGTGACGAATTCATACGGTTTGAGATACATTGAGCATTCAGATGTCAGCGAATATGACCGAATCATTCTCGAAAGCATGTGAAAGTAAACTTAACTGTTATGAAGTTCAACTAATCGCTTCTAATTCCAGCTGTTGTCTCAAATCAGACACTCTTGGACATTCTGCGTAAGGAGAAGTTCGATATAGGCATTGGAGAACCTTTCACTTTCTGTCCTTTCGGTAACTGATGTCAGAATGATCTTTTCAATATTAAGCTTTGGAGGTATTTTCGAAGCACTCGATGTGCCTGTTACTCTCGGAAGCTTATCAGTTGTTTCGAAAGAGCTTATCTCGTCTTATATTGGTTTGTAAAAAATTGTGTTTCCACTCCATAGTGTTCACAATGTTTACAGGAGAACCATTCTTTCCAAGTTTTGTACCCGCGGGAATGGGACAATATGGAAATGAAATGACTTTCCTACAACGTTTCTCTAACCTTCTTGGAATTTTGGCTGGCGAATACTTCTTCAAAAGGACATTTGATGGAGAACTTCAGATTTTCAGAAAGCATCTTGGAAATGATTTCAGACACTATAGTGTAGAAACTACGAAAATCAAATAATCTTTGAACGTTCATGTTCAGGAAATAATCGCTGATTCAACTTTCATGTTTACAAACTCGAACCCTTATCTTTCATTTACAAGACCAATTATTCCAAAGACTGTTGAAATTGGAGGAATCGTAATTGATGAGGACTTCAAGTCTCCAAAGAACTTAGGAGTTCGTATATCTAATAGTTCATGAATACCAAACTGATATCTTCAAGGAATTCGATGCAATCTTGAATGAAAGGAAACATACCGTCCTTGTATCGTTCGGTTCAGTAGCTAAGAGTAAGGATATGCCTGAAGATCAC